TCTGCTTTTAAAATAGCTTAAAAACCTGAATACTATAAACTGAACGTTAGACCACTTTGTTACTGTCGTTGTTATTTTTATAACCCGTAATTCTGTTTTCAGTTAACTAAATGATTTTTTCCTGTCTGTATTAAGTAATATATATTGTTATCGGCTATATTTTTAATTTAGACTTTTGTATTGTTATTTGACCTGAGGGAGTTTTCACGTCATAAAACTAATTGGACTGACTATGCGTCCTTCTTTCTACCGAACAATACAACAGTATATACATTTATTTTCATAAACTTACTTTCGTGCGTAGATCTTCGCTATTAGCTTTAATACAGGATTTTTACACTACATAAGCCATCCTTGAATATCGATGCTAAATAAATCACTAAAGAAAAATTACAGTGGTTTCTGAGTAAACTGCTCCCATTATAGATCCATATTAAAAGGTGAAGAAACTATAAATATTATAAGTATTTAAAAATAGAAAGTCGTATCTATAGATCTTATCAATTTCAACACTTCCCAAGTTACATATTTTGCACACTTTATTATAAAGCTGAGTATACACGTGCACAAGCTAGACATATATTTAATAACTCATTCACGTGTAGAAGAATAAATAATAAATGGGGCTGTACGGTAGGACAAGGAACATAGAAGTAGTTTAAACATATATTATTTATTTTATTTTTGTCGACCATTGCACTCAGTAACATACATGGTGGAAAAGGAGCACACTTATTGGTCAAATAGAGCTGTACACGATGTTCCAGTATAACTTGTTCTCTACATAAGATAATCTCATTATTTTCCCCGCGTCGAAGAAAAATTGAATTTTTATTAGGGCTCATAAATCTGCGATTTTTTGTTTATTTGTGCACAGAGAAAATAAGAAAAGAATTAGATTACATGCTACTTTATAAAAATATTAAAAGCTAATAGAGTTTCTTTATTTTGAATATTATACTCAATACGTTGCACTACAATATAAATGCACATCTCGAGTCCCTCGGTGGGACAGCGATAAGTCCACAGATTTACAACGCTAAAATCAGGGGTTCGATTCCCGTCATTGTACCCAGCAGGCAGCCCGATGTGACTTTGTTATTAAACACACACACACACACTGTACTTCTAGAACAGTCTCAACTTTGTATAGTCTGAATAATGTGTTTTACTCAGGTACATCAAGGTTTGAACTGGTATATCGTATGTTATAGTATTTTTGACAGTAATAGAACAATCTTCTTGTTTATTAGATATGAAGATGGACAGGGGATTAACTGACTATCTTAGGTCATCTTGGCTGTAGATTATGTATGTGATCATGATAAAAACAATATTTTGTCAAGCCATATCTGCACCGGCTTAAAGTCACCGGTGTAAGCGTAAATTTTGCAACATAATAGTTTCAACGTGTATTCGATTAAATATTTTGCCTTCCCTCATATTGTTTTTTAATTTAGATAAAATAATAATAATTTACCTCTTTGCATCATTCCCTAATCAATAAACAAAAACATTTCGTTGCTCTCAATTACGGTTCCGAACATCAAAAGAAGCTACTTGTACGCAACTATACATATTGCGTTCTTTATATTTTTACAAGCTAGGGGGCTGTCCGCTACTATCCATGCTCAAGAATGAGAATTCGGAAATTGATTGAGTTAGTTACTCACTACTAGAAGCAAAGGACTTTAAAATTGACCTGAATCTATACATAATTTCATTTGCTTTCTAGTTCTGTATTTTCTGCGATTTTTCTCATTGCAGTTTTTGTGTTTGAGGTACTTTTAATCCACTTCATAAACCAACAGATAAAATTATTACCAACCACTCAAGACAATTTCTATTCCTTTAATTTTTAGGGAGATTTTTTTTGACTTGTTAACTTTATAAAAACACTTCTTAAATATATTTAAATGTTAACATGTTTAAAATATAACTATTCTTAGAGAGCAACTCAGCTAAAGCAGTCTTATATAACACTTATTTTCAGTGTAGTTTTTTGTGTATCCAAGGGATTAACGTACTAAGAAGTTTGTAAGATATACAAAAGTGAAAAAGCAAAAAAGAATGTGTTGTGTCCATTCACTGATAAGGTATACTGAGAATATAAATAAAATAACAATAAGAGTACTACATCGTATAATTTTGCTGTTTTGAGTTATGAATATAAATTTCTGTTCAAAGCAGACTACCTACATAAAAGTTTTAGAAGTAAAAATCAAGCCAATAATGAATATAGCTAATTATATATATACTTTTGACTTATATTAATCAGTATTAATTGTTTTATCAGATAGATTCCGTCGATGTTGGAATATTTTTAGCCATAAACTCAGTAATATCTCACGATTTTCGGTCGGCTTAGGAGATTTAGATTAATCTTAAATCCATGTGCTTAACTAACAATGGAAATTAACTTTTATTTAAAAATATATACAAATATACAACTCCGAATTCGCCATCTCTCAATTTCATTTTGAAAAAATCGTATATAAAAAAATCATTGCCACCCTCGGCGTCTCAGCATTAAGAATGAGGGTTTATAACGCAAAAATCTAACGTCAATACCCACGGTGGCTTCAAAACAAACAAACGTATAAAACAGATTTATAATCGTTCAAAAAACCGTTTTTGAAATTCGCGCAAAGCTACACGAGGGCTATCTGCGCTAGCCGTCCCTAATTC